GAGGAGTAGGAGGATTAAGAGCGCCCCGGATCGGCGGCGCTGGCCGGAGGCCACTACAATCAACGAAATCCGGTCGAAATCGGTCCCCAGAGCCCTCCCGGGGTCCATCCGACGCAAGTTTTCACCCTGGATCGATTTTTCCCTACATCGCGCCGCCTCGTCCTACCAACTCGCCCCTCTTCCTCCCTCGTCCTGCCTCGTCCTAGTTCCTCCTACCTAGAGCTCCAAGAGGGCCCCAAGAAGGCTCCAAGAGGGGCGCTATGGGTCTCATCGAACCGCCGTTTTCGATGAGACCTATCGCGCTCCTCTTGGAGCCCTCTTGGGGCCGTCTTGGCTCCCTCCGGGGTTCCTCGAGGACCGGCCCACCCTGTCCTGGCCCCGTCCAGGGGCTAATAGAGAGCCCTTAGGGGGCTTCAAGATAGCCTCAAGAGGACTCTAAGAGAAGGAGGCCCAGGTCTCATCGAACCGCTGTTCTCGATGAGACCGGGCGCGCTCCTCCTGGAGCATTCTTGGGGTCCTCTTGTCCCACTCCTGGTGCCCCTCGAGAGCCCTCTCACACTGACCTTCACTCGGGACGAACAAAACTTGGTCCAGATTCCCGGGGGCCACGTCGCGAAAAAAATGCAACCTCGGGGGTGAGGGTCCTCCTCCTCCTCCTCCTCCTCCTCCTCCTCCTCCTCCTCCTCCCTCCCCGACTGGGGTACCCAACGCATGCGCTCGGGGCTCGGGCGCGCCCCCCCTCAGGGGGCGGAGGCCCGCCATCGCCGTGAGGGGCAGCCCGCGGGGGGGCTCCAGGAGGGGAGACGACGACGACGACGACGACGACGACGACGACGACGACGACGACGACGACGACGACGACGACGGCGACGACGACGACGACGACGACGACGACGACCACGACCACGACCACGGTGACGAAGACGACGACGACGACGGCGGCGGCGGCGACGAAAACGACAGCGGCGACGACGTCGCGGTCTCGGAGGGGGAAGAGGAAGAAGAGGAGGAGGATGTGGAGGATAATGGGAATGAGCCTGATGACGACGAATAGGATTGGGATGTAGGATATGACTGACTTGCTGACTGACTGACTGACTGGGAGGAGAAGGAGGAGAGAGACGCAAGGAGGAGGAGGGGGACAGGAGGAGGAAGGTACTCGCAGTAAAGTTCCCGGTAGGGTTTTCGAGACTGGAAGAGGTGAACGAGGAGAAGGACATAAGGAGGAGGAGGAGGAAGGGGACAGGAGGAGGAGGAAGGGAGCAGGAAGAGGAGGAGGAGGAGGAGGAGGAGAAGGGGGAAGATACTTGCAGTAAAATTTCCGGTGGGGGTTCCGAGACTGGAGGAGGCGAGCGAGGAGAAGGACATGAGGAGGGGGAGGAGGAGGAAGAGGGGGACAAGCGGAGGAGGAGGGGGAAGGCACTTGCAGTAAAGTTTCCGGTTTGGTTTTCGAGACTGGAGGAGGAGGAGGAAATGGACAGGAGGAAGTTGAGGAGGGGGATAGGAGGAGGAGGAGGAGAAGGAGGAGGAGGAGGAGGAGGAGGAGGAGGGCGAAGGCACTTGCAATGTACAGTTTCCGGTGGGGGGTTCGAGACTGGGGGAGGAGAAGGAGGAGAGTGACAGCTCCAAGAGGACACCTATGGCCCCAGCAGTGCCCAATACGGATCGAATAATAAAGCCATATATTGCGGCCTTGCGGCTGCTTTCGCCGAGGCTTCTCCAGGGAGAGTAGGTCCGAATCGGCTGACGGCCGCGCTGTGTCGAGGCCAATTGGCCCGAAGACGACCAAGTTCTAGGTGCCAGATGCAAATGTTCTATGTGCCACTTAGGGCGGTTTAGGTTTTCATTCCCCCGCCCCGTGTTGCTCTGCCTGCCCTTCCTCCTCGACCGCCCGCCTGCCACGCCTCTGACCCCCGTCTCCACCTGCGTGCGCTCCACCTTCGCGAGTCGGTGTGCACTTCGTCCTTCGCGCACGCCGATCCGCATCATTCCGAAGAAGAAGCATAATAATCATATATTCATAATTCAAAGGAAAATACAAATATGAAAACGAAGACACAACACAAACGTAAACTGCCGAAGTTTCGTGCGCATTTCTTTGATCCGCGCTCGCTGGGCCTCTCTGGGGGCGCACAGGCAAGACGTCCGCGCGGACCGTCCACAAGGTACTTTTGAGTATTTTTGGTCGTCTCTTCTTCCTGCCCCGCCGCTGCCAGGTGGCCGAGATGGAGGGCCACGCGGCGCTCGCCGAGGCCGACCTGGGGCTTGCGCCATCCCCGGAGGCCGCGGAGGATTGCGGCGGGCACTACCAGAGATGCCAGAGAAGAGGAGGAGGAGAACCAGTGTAAAACCTAGAGTTAGCAATGATGTTGGAATTAAGCACCCCTCCAAGCTCCCTCTGCACAGGCCCCAAAAACGGTTCATTTCTATTGAGGGAACTTCCTCGTTGGAAGACAACCGTTTGAAGATCATGAAGCATGCCAAAACATTGTTCTCGGGATTTCAACGCCACGTATCAACCTGATTGCCGCGTCTTGACGATCCGGAACCGTACCAGAGCGCCATTTCTGGGACTTCAACCCCGCGAACCAACATAACTGTGGCACCCACATAATCCTGAATCCTTCCTAAACATAAGTTCTGGTACGCTGATATGGTAATCCGTGAAATGCTTGCAAAGTTTGAAAAAAACTGTGCGCGGCGCTAAGGCGAGAGACACATTTTGAAAAGGAGCCGCTCTCAATCCGTGAAGCTCCTTGCAAAATTTCCGAACGACTGTGCGCGGCGCTAACGCGAAAACCACATTTTTAAAACCACCCGCCCTCAATCCGTGAAGTTGTTGCAATTTGTTGTGTACGAATGTGCGCGGCGTAATGGCGAGAGCCACATTTTGAAAATCACCCGCCTTTAATCCGTGAAACTCTTGCTTGTTTTAAACAGTGAGTGTGCGCGGCGATATGGCGAGAGCCACATTTTGAAAACGACCCGCCTCCATATATAGAACTGTAGTCACATTCCAAGCTTCAGAGTCATAAATGGTGAGGAAGTCTCATGCGAAACGCCCGGCCCTCCCAAAATAACTAGTTTCGAGGGACAGGGAGAAGCTATTTACAAGGAGAACGAATAGAGGAGGAGGACTAGTGTAAACCAAAGACGCATCAACGTCTTTGCAATACAATGTGCCTCCAATTTCCCGTTTTTCGTATCTCCCTGCAAGAATTCATGCTCGTTGCAAGAGGTGTCCCATTGCAAGTCAACGGTCCGACAATCTTCAACCGTGCCAAAACACCATCCTTGGGACTACAACGCCAGGAATCGATTGCGAAGGCCTTGCGGCCGGTGCCGCCGACCCTGAGAGGAGACGACGACGACGACGACGACGACGACGACGACGACGACGACGACGACAATGGCGGCGGCGGCAACGACGACGACGCTGACGTGTGCCAGAGTCCTCAGGTATGGTTCTCGGGGTCTCTTCGGAAGTCTCTTGGGGGGCCTCTGGCTAGGAATTTTGGGGCCTCTTGGGAGCCTCTTGGGGGTCTCTTGGGGGCTTCTTTGGGCTTCCCGGGGACCTCTTGTGGGCCTCTTGGGGCCTCTGGGTAACCTATTGGGGCCTCCTGGGAGCCTCTTGGGGCCGAAGGGTAGAAATGCCCGTTCGGGTCCTACGTCTAGGTACGCTCTTGGAGCCGTCTTGGGGGCATCTGGGGCCATCTTGGAGGCGATTTGGGCTGTCTTGGGGTCCTCGTGGATTGTTCGTGGGCCCTCTTGGATGCCTCTTGGGCCGTCTTGGGGAGATCTTGGGGGCCTCTGGCGTCGTTCTGGAGCGGTGGGAAGTGGAAGAGGCGCGAACGCCCAAATCTTCAAAAACCAATGGGAATTCAATGAATTGGCCCTCTCGAGAGTGCTCTTGGAAGCGTCTTGGGGCGTCCTGGAGGCCTCCCGGGCAGTCTGGAGGGCGTGAAGGCGTTTCGGACCGATCGTTTGGCGATTGGGGACCCTCTTGGACCGTCTCGGCGGCCTCTTGGGGCTTCTTGGCCTGTCTTGCTATACTTTCTGAGGCCCCAGGGGCCCCCGGGGGAAAACGTATCCAGGTGGCGACCCCCTCGAGACCCCCCCAGAACCCTCCCGGAATCCCCCCATGACACCCCCTTGAACCCCCCGGGGACCCCCACAGGACCCCCCTCACTCCCGGCGTGGGGAAAGATCAAAGGGAAGGGGCTTCTCTTCGACTTGATTACAACACTGCTAGATTTATCTCTCGCTGACAAGCTTGAAGAGGGGTGCAGGGAAAGGTGACGACGGAGACGACGACTGACGGAGACGACGACTCGAACGGCCAAGCCCCTCACACATGCCGACAGGGTCGGCGGATTTGACTGGTGCGTCTTGTCAATCCTGAATCGCGCCAGAATGCCATTCCTGGGACTTCAACGCCGCGAGTCTTTGGAACGGTTGCAATATTGTAAGACGGATGTCCGCGGCGCTACTGCAAGAGCCATGTTTTGAAAGGAAGTCGCCCTCCATTATTTAAACTGGTTTGGGAGTCACATTTTGAAATCGGCTTGCGCTCCATCCTTGAAATTACTCAAAACTGTTGGATTGGCAGAGGGCGGATTCCGCGATTTCGTTCTGCAAAACGAAATTCCTTGATTTCGTTTTGCAGCAGAGGCGGATTGGAGACACATCGAGGGACAACGAGAACAAACGAAAACGAGAAACCCTGTTTTGGTCGAGCCCTGTCCCCGCCTACGCACGCGCACCGCCAAAGAGTGGACGTAGAGGTGGTGGTGAGAGGGGGGGGACTCGGGGCGACGGGATCTGTAACATGCCCATTGCCCCTGGGCCTGCCCAATTCCTGGGTCCACGAGCGGTGCATGTGCCTTCCCGGCCACGCCAGGAGGGCGTACACACACACACACACACACCGCTGCTACTGCCCAGGAGGGGCCGGGCCTCGGGCGGTGGATCTGTGCACATCTCGTCGCCCGGAGACCTGGAGCTGTGGCCGAGGACCCGAGCTGGTCCGAGACTCGTGGCGGCGAGCAGGATCTGGGGGTCGATCGGGAGCCTCGAGACGGGGGTCAATGCCAACGGGGCTCAGCCAGAGCGCCCGATCTTGCAGGATCTTGCAGGGCCAAGGTCGCATTGGGGTCGCGGGTGGGTCGCGGGGTGGGTCGCGGGTGGGTCTCGGGGTGGGTCGCCGGTGGGTCGCGGGTGGGTCGTCGATGCAAAAGAAATCCGCCGCAGGCGCCGAAGTTTTGGCTTGTTCAGTGAACGTAGTATTTTGGGTCGCGGGTGGGTCGCGGGCTCTCCACCTCCACCTGGAAGGAATTCAAGAACAGCCCGCCGCAGGCGCCGACAATTTTGATTTGTACGCTGAACGCGGTTTGGGTCGCGGGCGGGTCGAAGGTTCTCCACCTGGAACGACCTGGAACGAATGCAAAAGAAACCCGCCGCAAGCGCCGAAAATCTTGGTTGGGTCGAGGGGTGGGTCGCGGGTGGGTCGCGGGTGGGTCGCGGGTGGGTCGTGGGGCGGGGGCTTGGGGGTGGGTCGCGAGCGGGTCGCGGGGTGGGTCGCGGGTGGGTCGGGGGTGGGTCGCGGAGTGGGTCGCGGGTGGGTCGCGGGGCGGGTCGCGGGTGGGACGACGACAACAACCAACAAACAACAACAACAACAACAACAACAACAACAACAACAATCATCTTAAGATTGATCGCTCTTATATATGCGCGCGCGTCACTCAATATGTGCATCCCAAACCCTCGATACCCACCCTCTTCGTCTTCGTCATACCCCTTTGGGTGTATATCTTTTTTACTCGCCACGTGTAGTTGGCGCAGCCCCTAAAACAGGAAGAGCAGGGGGAAGGAGGAAGGGAGAGCGAGGAGGAAAAGAGTGGGGGGAGGGAGGGAGGAGGGAAGGGGCAAGGGGGGGAGGATGGATGGAGGACGAAAGAGGTTAGCAGGAGGGGAGGGGGGCATAAGAGGAGGTAAACAAACGGACGAACCAGACAGACGGGTCGAGCGGCGGACTCTGAGGGGCGGGTCGGGCTGGCGGGGCGGGCGGACGCCAACGGACGGAGCCACCGTGTTTGGTGTCCTGGGGCCCCTTGGGCGTGTCTTGGGGCTTCCTGGGGGCCTCTTGAGGTCTTGAGGCCTCTTGGGGTCTTCTTGGGTGCCTCGAGGTGCCTCCTGAAGTTCCCGTGTTGTCTGTTCGATGATGTGGCACTTTGTCGAGGCGCCTCCAGCCGTCCCGGGCCTTGTTGGGACAGTCCCGGTGCCCTCGTGGGCGCTTCGGGGGGCTTCCTGGAGGTGTCTTGAGGCCTCTTGGGGCCTCCAAGGGGGCTTCCTGGGGGCCTCTTGGGGGCCTCGTGGGGGCCTCCTGGGTCTCCTGGGGGGATCTTTGGGCGGGGAGCTCGAAATGTCGGTCCCCGCCTCCCCTCTGGGGGCTCTTTTGGGGCGTTCGTTGGGCTTTCTGAAGGGGTCTTGGAGGCCTCTTGGGCCGCCTTGTGGGCGTCTTGGTCCGTCTGGGCGCTGTCTTGAGGGCTGCTGAGGCCGTCTTGGGGCGATCGTTGGGGCCTCTTGGGCCGTCTTGGAGCGCCGAGAAGCCGAAAATGCAAAAACTTCAAAAACCTTCGAACACGTAAGGAAAACTTATGGTTTTTGACGTTTCCGACTCTCCTGGGAAAGCTCTTGGGGGTCTTTCGGGGCGTCTTAGGGGCTCCCTGGGCCGTCGGGACGCCATCTTGAGCGTCTTAGGCCGATCTTTCGGCAACTCGAGGCCTTCGTGAACCATCTCGTGGACCATCTTGGGGCCGTCCGTGCCTCCCGGAAGCGCGTCTGCAGAAATGATGCCGTGTCCTGCCGGACTTCCGCCGTCTTCCGCCGGCGTTCGGCCCGTGGCCAGGGCCATGTCCCGGGGGGTCCCCCCCCAGACCCCCCCAGGGGGACACACAACGGGAACCCCTCCGCCAGGTCGGGGAAAAATACTGTGTCCGCCGGGGGGGATCAAGAAGAGTTATTCTTCAGTATTGAGAGTTCAGCAGGGCTCAGTTGTGAGGGAGGTCCCAGGCGGGAGCGCCGCTCCCGGAGTAATGTGCGAGGAAGTCTCAGGCGGGAGCGCCTCCGCCTGAGTAAACTGCGAGGAAGTCCCAGGCGGGGGCGGGGGTCCTGAGTAAATGTGGAGGAAGTATCAGGCGGGAGCCGTTGTTGTTGTAGTCCGGGGGGCCAACAACACAGTTTGATGCTCAGTTGTGAGGGAGGTCCCAGGCGGGAGCGCCGCTCCCGGAGTAATTTGCGAGGAAGTCTCAGGCGGGAGCGCCTCCGCCTGAGTAAACTGCGAGGAAGTCCCATGCGGGGGCGGGGGTCCGGAGTAATTTGCGAGGAAGTCTCAGGCGGGAGCGCCTCCGCCTGAGTAAACTGCGAGGAAGTCCCAGGCGGGGGCAGGGGTCCTGAGTAAATTTGGAGGAAGTATCAGGCGGGAGCCGTTGTTGTTGTTGTCCGGGGGGCTAACAACGCAGTTTGATGCCCACGACTTTCCCTGATAAAAAAACAGGGTGCGAGCCCCGGAAGGGGCACTTCAATTGAAAAAATACAATGTCCGCCGGAGGGGGGGGATCAACAATAATCATTCTTCAGTAATTAGAGTTCAACAACAACCAACAACAACAACAACAACGACAACAGCAACAACAACAACAACAGCAACCACAACAACAAAAACAAAAACAGAAACAACAACAACAGCAACAACAACAACAACGACAACAACAACAATAATCCGCATCGCGGAATTCCACTTCAGCCACGCACCCAGGGACAGTGAATGACCGTTCGGCGCAGCCCCCTCACTCTGATATTTATTTTTCGACCTAAATCCCCCTGTAGGAGAATGGGCCCGACTTACGCTTTGCATGTCCTCGCAATTCCATGTGTAAAGTGCATCGGCGTGCGCTTGCGTCTGGCAATCGGTGAGAAAGCAACACTGTAGCGTCGACTAGCGTCGATTTAGCCTTGATCAGCGTCGAGTAGCGTCGGCCAGTGTCGATCCACAAGAGCCAGCAAGATGCCATGGGAGGCTCCCGTGAGTTGCCACCGAGCCAGGTGGCCGAAAGAGTACGACTAACACCGAAATCTAGGCTCATCCCTCCGCGGTTGGGGTCACCCCATGCGCTGTCGGGGCTCAAGGGCCGGGGTTCAATGCAAACGGGGGTCAGCCAAAGCACCAGATTTTGCAGGATTCTGCAGGCCAGGGGTGCATTGGCTTGATCCGGCAGAACCCGACTAACCTAGGTCTTGATTGACCCCGGTCAGTAGCTCCCCGACGCTGGTGCCAGTGCTCCCTTCCAGGCCCGAAGGAGAAATATCGACACAAACATGAACTTCCGGCGCTCCGCGCGGATTTCCCAGGACGCCGCCTTCCTCGGCGGCGCGGTGGACTTCCTGGCGGAGATGGCGGCGGACGCCGCGCCCGAGGGGCCCCAGGAGCCGGTCGCCGGCGGAGCGGCTGCGCCACCCTCCACCTCGCCCGCGTCGTCGTCGTCGACGTCGTCGTCGACGTCGTCGTTCCCCTCCTCCTCCTCCTCCTCCTCCTCCTCCTCCTCCTCCTCCTCCTCCTCCTCCTCCTATCCTCCTCCTATCCTCCTATCCTCCTCCTCCTCTGGAGCCTCTGGAGCCTCTGGAGCCTCTGGAGCCTCGAGCTAGGGGCAGCGTCGTCGAGCGGGCGCCCTGGCCTTGACACCCCTCTGGGCCCCGGTGCTGCGGGGAGGGAGGGGCCACAGCCACGAGGGGAGGGAGCGAGGTACACGTTGTTCATTTCTAATTCTTCGGGGCTTCTTTGATTTGTTTTGGGGCCGAGATCCTTTCATTTCTAGTTGTTCTATCCTGGGCCTCTTCCTGGCCACTGGGGGGCCAGGAACAGTTAGAAAACACGCACAAGTAGAAATGAGCACGACTAGAAGTGAACGACGTGTCCGGGAGGCGGCCCCCGATGAAGCACCTGCACCTGGGAATAATAAGGAGGACGAGGGGGAGCGGGAGATCAGCAGGCTCCCGCCCCCCGGAGCGAGTTTTTCGCCCAGATTCTCCCGAGGCGCTCTCTCTGACAGCTCCGGAGCCCGTGGAGGGCCCTGGAAGCCCGCGCACGGCGATGAACAATCGGGACCCGTTTCCCCTTTTCCCCCTTTTATGGCGATGGTCAAGTCGGGCACGTTCTTCTACAGGGGAAACTCTCAAGAGAAGTAAAGAACAGTCTGGTGACGATGTTTCGTGCTGTTGAAAAAAGAATAGGGTTGATTATGTTCTTCTTTTCTTCCGAAATCCGAAGGCGAGGGCCCGACCGAAGGCGAGGGCCCGACCGAAGGCGAGGGCGACCGAACCTTCGGCGAAGGCGAGGGCCGAGGGTGATGGCCTGACCGAAGGCGAGGGCGAGGGTGACGGCGCCTGTGCGCGCCGGCGGTGGCGGGCGTGCTCGTGCGGTGCTGGCCCGAGGGCGCGGGCCCCCACCGTCTCCCCGTGGCGGGAGGGAGGGGCTCACCTCGGCACGGTGAGGGTGGGCGGTGTTTTTCAAATTGTTGTTTTGCCGATCGGCGCCAGCCCTCCTGCTCCTCCTCCTCCTCCTCCTCCCTCCTCCTCCTCCTCCTCCTCCTCCCCCTCCTCCTCCTCCTCCTCCTCCTCCTCCTCCTCCTCCTCCTCCTCCTCCTCCTCCTATCCTCCTCCTATCCTCCTCCTATCCTCCTCCTATCCTCCTCCTCTGGAGCCTCTGGAGCCTCTGGAGCCTCTGGAGCCTCGAGCTAGGGGCAGCGTCGTCGAGCGAGCGCCCTGGCCACGACACCCCTCCGGGCCCCGGTGCTGGGGGGAGAGAGGGGCCACAGCCACGAGGGGAGGGAGCGAGGTACACGTTGTTCATTTCTAATTATTCGGGGGTTCTTCGATTTGTTTTGGGGCCAAGATCCTTTCATTTCTAGTTGTTCTATCCTGGGCCTCTTCCTGGCCAATAGGGGGCCAGGAACAGTTAGAAAACAAGCACAATTAGAAGTGAGCACGATTAGAGATGAACGACGTGTAAAGGAGGCGGCCCCCGATGAAGCACCTGCACCTGGGAATAGTAAGGAGGACGAGGGGAAGCGGGAGATCAGCATTTCCCCCCCCCCGGAGCGAGCTTCTCACCCCTCGCCAGCGTCCTTTTCCTCGTCCTCCCCCCCTCCTCCTCCTCCTCCTCCTTCCTCCTCCTCCTCCTCCTTTTCCTCCGTTTCCTCCTTTTCCTCCTTTTCTTCTTCCTCCTCCTCCTCCATCAACTCCTCCCCCTCCTGCCGTCTCCCCCCCTCCCCCCCGATGGAGTAGATCTTGGCTGTTTCTGGCGCCTGTTTCGAGCAGGTGGGGTCCCTCTCCCACAGTGGCCGCACTGCTGCAAGTAGTCGCACTAGGCAGAAGTCCGGAGCCAGACCCCCCCCCTCCCCCCACCTTCCCGCCCAATGTCGAAACGCCGAAAAACAAGAATGCTCACGTGGGGCCAGGCCCAGCGCCCTCCTCTCTTCCTGCTCCCCCACTCATTCAGCATAACATAATCCCTAACCCTAACAGCACAGTGGACTCGTGGCCTAACTCAGGCCTAAACATGTGAATGGTTTCGTTCGAGACATCTGCAGAGAGGCCCCCTCTATCCCTCATATCTTGGGCCCTCCTAGCTCAGGTTCCCTCCCGAAGGAGTAGGGGTACTTCTGTTGCTCCTCATCCACTGTGCAGGGAAGGTCCTTGCACGCGTGTCGTTGAAGGCAGGTGTCTTTCTGGGCTCCCAGGTCCCAATCCTTCTCGAGCGCCTTCCTACTTCAAGAGTCGATGTGTGTTTGTTTTTGTCCCCCCTCCGCGACCGCCCCTCGCCCTCTCCCCTCCTCTTGCCTGCGGGTTGATTTGCGATTCCGTGCCCCTGTCTCGCCCGGATGCGCGTGCGGGTTGCCCCTGCCGCGCTGCGACGCAGAAGTTTGTTTCGGTGCCGCTTTCGCCGGGCCCGAGCTCACTCCGCGTCATCCGCTGTCCTGTTTCCTGGTTCCACGTGCGTCTTCCCACTGGGGTTCGCGGGCCCTGGAAAAGGCAGGGCTGTTTCGCCCCCCACCCCATCCACTCCTGGGAAAAATTGGAAGAACGACATGCGCTCTCACCTTTCTCATGGAGACGGCATAACAGCGGCTCGAAATGGTAAACACACGATTCACCGAAACGGCTTGGGCGGTCCAGGGATCCGGAGGAAGCCCAGAACTGGCTCGCAAACGGTTCGGCTCCGGCAGTGCTTTGGACCAGGCCCCCACCAGGGTAAACGAGAACGGTAAAACAACCGCGCCATACACGGAAAACAATCAGCGCGGGATACGGTAAAACGTTTGAGCAGACATGGAAATGGTAAGACAAACAAATCACGCGTCCAGGGCACACAAATTTGGTTGACCCAATGGCGGTCCAGCGACAATGGGGTGATGCAATAGATTTGGTGCAACAGATTTGTGGGGGTGCAATATATACAGGGCGTGCAGTACATTTGGGGGGGGGGGCAAATGTATTGCTGAATCTCCGCGTGCAATACATTGTTTGCAACACAATGCAATACAGTTCTCCGACGCAATACATGTGCAATGCCATTGCCCAAATCTAGTTCACCACCCCCTTTCAGCTGGACCCCCTTTTGGATTGACCAAAACTAAGGCAAATATATCCGCGGGGCCCTCATCGAAGCGAACCTCTTCCTTCTTAGATCCTGACATACTCGCGCCATGAATCGAATGAAGCACTTGTTTGTCCTTCCCCGCCTGGCAGCTTGAGAGGATGCACCTTAGGCAGAGAGCTCCCGACCCGCCTCGTACAACTTTCTTACCGTGGCCGCCAGGCCCAAAACGTACCAGCGATCCCTGGGGAACCCGCTTCGTGCCATCGACAAACGACGACGGCATGCCGCGGTCGCCAGGCCCAAAGTCTGCAGGTGCCTCTTGTGGATCCCGCTGCGCGTTTCTCGCGCGGGCCTCGCCCGGAGTAACGCTAGTGGTTGTTCAACGTTCGGCTTTCGGGGTTCCAGTCTCCAGCAGACCCGCAACAAAAACGACTCAGGATGAGAAGCCGCTCCCCTGCATGGGGTCCAGGCCTTCGCGGAGCACCGTCGCAAACAAGTTCGCGGCGTCGGTTGTGTGGGTCGACCTTGCTTTGGAGAGCCGCATGTGACTGGGAATCAGCGGCCTGTCTGAAACAGAGCATAGCGCGGGGTCGCAAGGGCTTCGAAACGGGGTCCAGGGCTTGGAGGGGCCAAAGCGTCTCCACCCCGGCGGGAGGCGGCGCACTGAGCGCACCGATTGGAGCCCAGGGGTCCACTTGGATGGGGTCCAGGGGGCCCAGGGATCCTCCTCATCCTCGACCTCGTCGTCCTCCTCCTCCTCGTCCTCCTCGTCCAAGAGTGTCCGCGGTTCGGCTGGTTCGGTGGCGCCGCGGTCGGCTGCATTGCGTCGGTTCGGCTCGGTAATGTATTGCGTCGTTGCGCCCTTCTATGCTACGTTCTGTCCGCCGATTTCCGTTTGGCTGTCGGTTCGGTCAGTGTTCGGTTCTGTTGTTGTTGTGGGAGCTTATGTCGCCCTCCACCTCCTCTGCCTCGCAGTTGTCCTCGTCCTTTGCGTCCATCCTTCTCCTCCTCGTCCTGTTGTATTTCCCCAGCTCGCGGCACTCTTCAGCCCACGCTCGTTGTTCTTCCTCTTCCCCCGTTTCCGCCCCCCCTGGACCTCGGCGGCATGATCGCTCCTCCTTTCCCATCATCTTCCTTCCTTCTCCTCTGAAGGCGCTGCCCTCTCGCGAGGAACGATTTCGGCGCCCGCCTTATTTTTCCTCGTCCAGGGGCCTCTCCCTCCCTCCCAGGCGCGTTTCGTAATGGGCGTTTTTTTTTTCACGGAGGGGGGGATCGTGGGTTGCAAGAAGGGGCCCCTAGAAGGACCCCTTGGGAGCCCAGAGGATGCAAGAAAGGTGTACAGTTCTGCCCCCCCCCCCTTTGTTGCCTCCACGTTACGACTCCTGCCAACGCGAGGGAATGGGGCCAGTAGGGATATGTAACGGCGGGAGGGAGCGAGGGAGGAGGCTGGGAGAAGGGATGGTGGGAGATGAAGGCGAGGAGTGAATCGAGGAGGATGGAGTGGAGATGTGGGTACAGATGAAGGAAGTTTGGGATTGTTGATCCGTAGACATTGGGCGTGGCCTTGGCAGTGACTGCCGTATATTCACGAGAAGAAGTAGTGCTAGCAGCACCACATCGAGTATTTCCAGCAGCTGTGTTGTAGGAGGAGCCGCAAACGCGGTCACAGTAGTGTTGGTAGTGGCTCTCGTGATGCAGGTGGCAATCGCCAGGTGATTGCGGGAGTGGTGTTGCTAATGTCATTGGCGTTGGTAGTAGCAGTACCTCAGGACGTTCTAATATAATAGTGCTTGTTGTGGTTAGGCGTAGGGTGTCTTTGAGTGCTATTGCCTGAGATGGTGTGCGTGTCCACCGACCGACTCGGCTCAACAGTGGGTCCCTTCTATATCCCATACTTTTTGAAAGATCTTTCGTCCGACGACTTCACAGGTCATGGCTGCGCCCCTCTGGTGCTCGCGAGGCCCTGGCCCGCACCCGCAGCGGTGCCCCCCCCCCATGCTTGTCACAGTCCCGCCCCCTCCGGCAACGTCCAGGACGTGTGCGCCCCGGCGGTCGGATCGCACGAGCATGGACCGCCACCCCAGACATCCGGCGCATCGATTTCTGTTCGAGGCGTGGGTCCCCAGACCTCTGGTGATGGCGACGACGTCCCCGCCATCGCCATCGTCATGGCCATCACCGACCCCTTCCCCAGGGCTGACCTTTAAAATGCCGAGCTGCTGTCACACGACTCGGGAGCCCGAAGCCGGCTTCCGGATGCAAACATCGGGAAGCGACTCGTCCCTCCTGAGCCGCTCGCTCCGTCCGCCCCTCTTTCGGCCGCACCCTTCCCCCGCTCCCCCGTTTCTTGCATGGTGGCACAAATCGCTCGCTCTGACGGCCTTCCCGTTTTGGCACCCACCGCCGGCGCTGACGTCCCCTGCCTGCAGAGCCGCCGACGCAGGAGGTGTCGAGGAGCCTGGTCTCTGGGCCCAGGGGCGCGTCCGGCGCCGGGGCTGCCGAGGACATGGAGGTCGAGGGGGAGCCTGCGCAGGCACTCCAGGAGGCCCAGGCGCCGCCCACCCGGGGCCGGCCCCGGCCGCAAGGGGGCGCGAGAGGGTCGTGTGGAGGGCACTTTGTGCGCCCAAAGGCATTTGTTGGGGGAGAGCCGAGGTGGCCTCGTGAGAGGGTAGGGGCTCGGTGTTCCCTTCGCCCGGGGGACACACACACACACCGATACTGCTGCCCTTCCACCGCTCTCGCAGTTCCGGGCCTCCCGGGAAGCTGTCGGCGCCACGGCGAGATTTGCCTCGGAATCCTGGATCGCACCCGGGGAAGCGGTAATGGCACGGTTCCCCCTGATTGTGTCATTCCGTGTGTCGTCCCTTGGCGCTTCTCCTCCATCTGGGCGCAGCTGAGGTCCAAAGGGGAGGGGGCTTCGTTTCTTTTCCACGGTTCCGCTTGACAGACATTGACTGTAGCCTCCCTCTCCATCAGTTTCTCCGTGATCCCCTTCCTCACGAGTTCTCTTCACACCTATCAGGGTGCATGCCAGCATTTTCTGGTGGGCCTCGTCTCCTTCACTGTTTCTGGAGAGATTCGCTGCGCAGGTCGGGACCATAGCCACTCATGCTCCTTTTGCGAATTTCCCATGCAGCGTCGTGGGCGCAATCTCTGCACGCTGCGTTCACGAGGCAATCATTGCGGCTGAGAGCACGCCCGAGGAGGAACCGGAGGGAAAGCAGGAGGAAAGCGATGAGGCGGACAGGACCCGCAGATCGGTGCGACGAGTGGGCAACAATAGCAGCCCCCCATCGCTCCTGCCAGGCCCTCCGCGCGCCAGCGCGGCAACGGAGAGCCGAGAGGGCAGTTTCCTCCTCTCCTCCATCTTCTCTGTTTTTTACCGCGCGCGTTTCACTACTCGCAAACGTCCAAACAACACGTCCTCTTCGATGTAATGGACATTCGAGCACCCGCGGCGGATCCAGGCCGTTTGCGAGTAGCTGCTCGGCGAGTAGCGGGACGCGCTTGTCTAGTTTTCTCAGCCCTTTTTGCCCCCGGCCGCTCTCCTCGCTCCTGCCCCGCCGCCCCGGCCCCCCATCCCCAGGATCCAGCCAGTCCGCAGGCGCAGGCGCAGAGGCCACGACAAAAAGCCGACGCCGTGCGCAGAGCGAGGAGGCCCCGAGGCCCGACGGCCCGGAAGGAGGCACGACGCCGCGGCACAGCGGCGGAGACCCCGACGCCCCGCGGCCTTGCGCGGGGAGCTCTCGGGCCCAGCTTGTGGGCGAGGCCCCCCCCCCCCTGGAGTGGCTTGGCTTCTCGGGGTGCGTGCTGTGAGAGTCGTTGGTGTTTGCCCCCTAGCCTGGACGCCTCCAGCAGGCTCCGGATGCCCAAGCTTAAGTCGGGCATGAGAGGCCGATCGGCCTCACTCTGAGTGGTGAGAATGGTCATCTAGCGCGTGGGTTCAAGGGAAGATGGGCTTGCGCGAGGTGCGGAGAGACTCGTGTTCGCAGGTGTGACCTCGTGAATTTGAGCTGTGGTGGACCCCCATAAGGGGGCCCAAGCGGCTCACGAGTCGCACCATCTCTGCAAAACGGGCCCGATGGTTTGGTGTGTAGACTGTGCCGCTCGTTGCGTCAGTAGAGCGCACATGACAGCCAGACGGTGTTTGGGCAGACCTCCCATGGGTTCTCCGAGGCACTTTAAGAGGAAGTACTTTATCCAGGGGAAGGGCCCGTCGGGCGAAAAGGTAGGCAATGGGTTTCACAAGCCTGTGCCTATCACCTCGCGTAGCTGATGTTCGTAATTAGCGCCTTGTGATACATCGCGTTTCTGGCTTGGTGCCTCGTTCTCGGAGCCCCTCGTCTTTATCGGAACCCTCGGCATCCCCTCCTATTATTCCTCCCCCTCCTCCTTCTCCTCCTCCCTCTCCTCCTCCTCCTCCTTCTCCTCCTCCTCCTCCTCCTCCTCCTCTTCTACATGCAGAAAATTCGAAAATATTCTAAACATCGTAGTTTGACGATTTGTCTATCAGATTTGATTTGTTTAAGCCTATTTTGGCTGTGTATTTGTACTTCCAAGTTCCGCCTGCAGGAGGACATGCCCGAGCTAAGCCCAAATACGCTCCACGCCGCCGCTGCAGTCCTTCGTGCGCCCCGCGGTGCGCGCCTGCCTCGCTCTGACAGTGGCATCTTCTATGCCGACGCTGGAGCCGGCGTCACCCCATCATACTTGTACTACATGTGCGTCTCCCCCCCAGGTGCAACGCGCGAACCGAGAGATCCTATATTCTGTGCGTCGTGGCGGGCGCTTTCTGACCACACCGCTCGGGAAACGATGTATTACAAGATGGGTATACTATTTGTTCGGTTCGGACGCGCGCCTCAATGGAGGATCTATGTAGCACTGGTCTGTCTCTCTGCGTCCCATTGTGCTGCACCGGCACGCCATCCCTGGCCTCCCAAGAGGAGACGGGCGAGGGCACCCGCCACACGATCTCGCCCGCGCCCCGCCCTCCCGACCTCGGGGCGAAGGCGACGGCTGCGACGGCGATCACTGCGACGACGGCGGCGACGGCAGCGACGACGGCGACGGCAGCGACGTCGGCGACTGCGACTAGGGGGACACACAATGACGTAAGCATAACAGCTCGGAGGTCCGCGCGGATTCCCTGGATCGTCGCTGGGCCCCTTGGCTGCGCCTCCGGCGCCGCCCCTGGCGCGCTCCGCGCGCCAGGGAGGGGGGCCCAGCGCCGATCCAAGAAATCCGAGCGGACCTTCGAGTTTTTGTGTTTATGTCATTGTTGATTCCCCTAGCGTTAGGTGGGGCATGTCCTCCTACAGGTGGATTCTGGGCGAAAATTGAAAATTGTCGAACAAAGAAGACAAACATAGAAAAACATAGTTAAAACATCGTCCCCAGATTATGTTTAAACTATTTTGGAATATTCCTCCTGTAGAGGGACATGCCCGACTGAACCCTAGCTGCGGCGACGGCGACGGTGGCGGCGACTGCGACGGCGACGGCGGCGGAGCAGGAGCAGCAGCAGCAGGATGGATCGGCGGCTGGTTGAGGAGCGCCATGCGGGCATGTAGGCGAGGAAGGCCAGGTCGTCGTTGGGCCTTCCAGGAGGGCTTTCCAAAGAGCATATGTGGACACTATGTGTAAGGCCCGCGTGTCCCTCTACAGGAGGAAAATTCAAAAATATAGATTCCAAACATAGCCTGGGAATGATTTTCTGATTATTTGTCACTCTGTTTAAGCATGTTTTTGATTTTCTGATTGTTTCTTGGTCTATGATCGACTACGTTTGAAATATGCGTTCGCGCAAAAATGGCCTGTAGGGGACCTGCCCGACCTGAGAAGATTTGGACACTACGCGATGCAACTGCTCAAAGAATTTTCCAATCCACTCGGTTGCCCAATCCACGGCCTCGAGCCTTCCAGGGCGGTCGATGCTCGATACGTCTGGAGGGCTATGTAGGTGCGCTCCGCTCTGGCCGGTCATGGTCGAATCCCCTCCTCGTCGTCGTCGTCGTCGTCGTCGCCGTCACCTCCCTCCTCCCTCCCTCCCTCCTCCCCCCACCCCCGCCCTCTCCACACAGGCGCCGCAGCAGATGGACCTCTCGGCCGCGCCGGCGGAGGAGGCTGCCTCCGCGGCCCCCTTCGATTACACGTCAGTCAGGCGATCGCAAACATGGATCAAGGGGGCGTGGATTAGCGACGGGTCCCGTTTCCTTGGGAGATCGTGGACCGAGCGAGGCGGCGCCGGCTGCATTCTGGGGGGGCACCTCCCCTGATCCGTGGATTTGGCGACCGCGCGCCAGATCCACGGATCGCTGATCCGTGCTCGTGCGCCCCCGAACAGAGGCGCCAGAGCAGATGGACGTGTCGGCCGCGCCGACGGATGAGGCTTCCGCCGCGGCCCCCCAGACGGCCTCCATGGCACCCCTCAAGAGGCCCAGAAGGCCCCATGGGGCTCCAAAGTGGAGCGAAAAGGCTGGGGGCACCTTGGGCCAGGGGCACTCCTAGCAACGCCCGACTCCTCGGTTACGCGTCACGGCGAGCCTTGGCCACAGTGACCGTTTGACGCGCGCTTCTCGGGGCCCGCCCGCGGCTGCCTGCGCGCTCGGATTCGGCCGCCTTGCGCCTCCCCAGTCCGTGCATCAAAGGTCACCCCTGCCTGGGGTTACAAGTCGGGCCCGTCCCTCTCTACACAGGAGCAGTATTCAAAAGTAGTCCAAACATAGTATGGGGACATTTTTTTCTGCCATGCTTTAAAAGTTGTTATTGTTTTTGCTGGGGCATCTTAAACTTTCTGTCAAAAATCCGCCTGTAGGGGGACATGCCCGACCTAACCCTAGGGTCACTCCTGCGTGTGTCCGGCCGCCTCCCGGGCCGGTCGAGACCGTCTGCCTGGTCATCGGGCGCCCCGGACAGCATCGAGGCGGCTGGCTTGTATGGTTCCATGTGTCTTGGAGACTATTTTTAGGGTCAGGCGATAAACAGGGTTATCGGGCTTGCCTCCCTCCCCCCACCCATCATGACCTAACCTTGCCGGTTGTGCAGGTCCAGGGTGGGGGGGCGCGGGCATATGCAGGGCTGTCCACAGCGCGGAGAATAGTTATCGCCCAGCCCCCTCCCCTCCCCCGTCCGGGATAACCCTGGTTATCGCGGATTCAAAACGGTCTCTTGGGCGGGGGGCGGGCAGGCAACCCAGACACCTCCTGCGTCTCGGAGAAGCATCGGGGCGGCTGGCATGCCGTCTTTCCGGGCCCCCTGGAGGCGGACTCCAGGCCTCGGGGCCCTCCAGAAGCGGCTCTTGCGCTGTGCAGGTGCCTGTCGGGGCGGTCCTCGGGAGTTCTTCTTCTTTGCCCGGCTTCGCGCGAGGGGTTTCCGAGGTGCCCTCAGGGCTTTCCCCCCATCGATGGTCGTCGCTTCAGGAGCTGTTCCCTTCAACGGCTCGGGTGGAACCGACCCTGGAGGAGGCGTCGAGAGGCCCCGGGGCCCAACGCATCGAAGCATTCGAGACGCTGGGTGTCTTGGCTCCTCCTTCCTGGTCAAGGTAAAGCAAATGAGCCCGAGGATGACAGCACGCCGATGTGGTCATTGCCAGCCTTGGTCTTGCGTCCCGTCCCGATCGGGATTCCACAGGACCAAATTGATGACTGATAGCTTGCATACGAAACGATACGGAAGCGTTGCTTCAAGACTTGGGCGTTGAATCACAAGCCACGAACCCCCTCATTCCTGGTTCTCTCCCTCTCCCTGCCTCCTGTTCCCGCCTCTGCCCCTTACTCCCCACCTCCTCCGTATTTCCCTTCCCCCCTCGTTTCCCCCACTCTTCTCTCCTTCCCTCCCCTTGCCCCCGTGCCTCCGTCTGCCATTTCCTTTTCCCACTGCATCCGACTGGGTCGTCGGTGGCATGTTCCGTACCTCGCTCCAGAGCCCGCACCTCCACGTGGTGGCTAGAGGGTGCGCAGGTTTTTTGAACACTCCTTTTGGCACCCCGTGCACCAAAAACATGTGCATTCCGCCGAGATCCGATGGCGAAAGCCGAGCTTCGGCAATGGTCCACTTGTGAAGCCACCTATCGTGGAATGACGTCGCTCCCAAGCAAAAAGCCATTTTCGCTACTGAATCTCCTGATATCTAGCCTGCCGTTCCAGATGCGAGGGTGGAAAAAGAAGGTCACGGCCAGGGATGATATGGCGGCAGTAAGGCAGATTCGACGGAACTGCTCGCGCGCAAGGATGCCGCGGGCGAGGTCCATACAATGCGTATGGGGTTCATCACGAATGTGAAGGATACCAGACCAGTGTCAAGATTGGTCTCACCGAGCAGCTCGAGCAGATGGACCGGACACCGCATGCGATGGTCGAGGCCGTCAGCGTCGCCGACCCAGCCGAGCGCGCAGAAGTTCATCTGGAGAAGGACACCAATATGAGGCACGTGAAGGCAGTCAACATTGTCGCCGGGCTCGGGAGCCAACTCGTGGCAGCATTCGAAAAGGAGCAGGCACTTGCGCGTGAGCTCGCAGAAGAAGGAGTTGGGATGGCAGCGAAGTTGGTCTCGATGGATGATGGGGTCGTGAACGCAGAGGCTGACAACATCGGACAAGTTGAAGCCAAGGCGGGCGGAGTGGCTGGCTGGGCCTTCGCTTGGACCGAGCATGGTGCACGCGATATGGTCGACTCATTCGCACCAACATGGACGAGTGCGAGAGTGTACGTCCGGAAAGGAAAACGAGCTGCAGTCAATCAAGAAGGACCTCAAGGAGTCAGGGTCCACCTTGCAGTCTATTGTTTTCACATATCGACACACGGCGCCAGGTCACCTCATTTCCCCTTGGAATGCCCAGCCCAGAGGTTTTTTTACAGTTACCAACTCGTCTTGTGAGCCAGCAGCAGCGGCAACAATACAAACGAATCATTGAATCTAGAAGCTACGCAACAAACTTTTCCCACGACCGTGCGAAGGTATTTTCAACCGAAACCGCGCAAACTGGAAACTGCAAGGCTCGGCGCAAGCTGGAAACTGCAAAGCGCTTGTGGACGTCGGGCACACAACGAGAGCGCCGATAATATAGAATCCGCGATGGCGCAGCGGGCATCAGTAGCAGCAGGCAGCAAAAGCAGGCAGTGACAGCACCAGGCAGCACAGGAGGAAATTGTCGGGCCTGGCGGGCCGGATGTGCGACAGAGAATGCCTTGCGGAGAGAGCGTAGGTCTCGCATTGTGCGTTGCCTGTCAGTCGTTGTCCGCCCACTCGAGCGGGGTTTGGAGACGCGTGGAAACGCGTCGGACCCCACGTTGGGAGCGGTCTCAAACAGACAACTTCGACCGTTGACCCAGGGGAAGCGGAGACATCGAGGACGTCGCCGCCGCCGAGGCCGCCGCTGCGATGCCGACGCCGCCATCGCGGCGCCGGCGACCCATCCTGTTCGGACGCGCTCTCCAGGCCGCGAGACATCGACTGACAGGCGGCGCGCGATCAGAGCTCGACGCTCTCCCCATAGAGGCTTTTCTGGTGAACCTGGCTACGCTGCAGACGCCCTTGCCTGATCGCGTTCGCCGCGCCCTGTTGCGCGCTGCCCCGCCGGCCGATGCCGCTCGGCGATTGCGTCGCGACGGCGTCGGTCAAGAAGCAACTGGTGGGTTCAGGCGGGGCAGCGCCAGCCCCATCGACCGTCTCGGGCACAGGGCGATGCGCCCGCGTCGCAGCAAAAGGCAGCATAAGCGGCGCCAGTCGTCGAGGCTAATCTTCCAGGGGCGCGCGGGGGCGCCGCGGGGGCTAGCGCGGCTAAGGCCATGGCCTCTTCGGAGCAAGTCGCGCCCCCCCCTGTCGGAAGCCCAGGGCAAGCTGAGAGTTGGGGGCCAAAAGTTTCATTTGCCTGGTGCCACCTTTTTGTCGCGCGCGCCCAGAAGTTCGGGGGGGTCCACCCGCTTTTTTGGGAAGGCATCTGGGTCCGAGGAGAGACGGGGGGCGCGCGGAGCTTTCGCTGGAGGAGCGACGCCGGCCTCTACGATGGCGCCGAGCGAGCCGCCATTTATTCGCTTGTGACTTTTGGCTGGAGGACGGGGGCCAGTATTTTCCCGCGTGGCCAAGGGCGCGCCCGTGGCGGGGGCGCGCCCTTTACGTTCGCGCGTTGTCGCCCTGGTGGCGGCAAGCCCCTCGCCCCCGCAGGCGCAAGATGCGGCCTTGGATAACGCCGGTCAGGGTCCGGTGCTCTGAGGGGGCCCCAGGTAATCGCGCGGCAGCGTCGCCGGGGCAACTGGGGGCATGTTCCCGGAGCGGGCCGAGGAAGGGCCCCGCTCCATGGCCATTCGACGTCGCATTGGTCGGGGGGCCCGCCTTGCGAAAGAGCAATTCGATGGGGCCTTTTAAAAAAATTGGCCTTTCGGGGAGGTTGCGCATCTTCTTGTTTGGCGGCTGCGTCCACGGGACAAGCAGAACGTGCGACTTCTGGCGGTGCGACGACTATCACGTGGATTCTGTTTGCTGCTCGCGAGGTTGATCGCGTCTACGCGGGGGGGCGCATGTTTTTCGTACTGTGTTGACAGATCATGTCCAGTTTTTGCTTGTCGTCATCCACTTCCATGGCCAGTTCGGACTGGCGGGAGATACTTTCAATGTCCTCGCGCGCTCGGGGAAATCAGTGTCGCGTGCCTCTTTGCAGGGGGCCTGGGGCATCGATTCAGAGATCTTGCGGGGTTCAAGATTGTGATCACATGTCGGCGATTCTTGTCCGTCCCATGTCATCTACGCGTCAGGGGCATTGCTGCGGGCACTTTGTATCCAACCGCTGTTTGGATCTCTACGCGGGCGCTTGCCAGTCGTGGTCAGATTCGCATGTCGGGCACAGCGTTGCGGTGCGTTTGAGGCTCGCGGGGCTACGGCGAGCTACTGAAAGTGCGGATGAGGATCTATCCGTTGAGTTTTCCTTTTGTCCCGGAGGGAACGGACGCGGAGAAGCTCGCGTGCGTGGCGCGAGGAGGTGGTTTTTCAATTCGCCAGCCCCATGGATTCGGCAGCCAAAAGACATCATGCGGCAGTTTCAGGGTCGGGCGAACCCGCGCTCCATCGCGTCGGCGAAGCCTTTCGAGGGTCGATCGGCAGGCCGCCAGGTGCAGGAGGTATCCTTTCCAAGCGGCGCTCAATGACTCGATCAGAGGTGCTTGGTGCTCGCGCAGGAGTGGCCGCCGCGCGGCGCATGGCGACGCCGCGCACCCAGCTGGCCAAGGGCATGGAAGCCCTCCCGGCGAGGGCGCGCGTTTCGGATCATGTGTGCCCAAGTGGCTTGGTCGACGAGATGCGGCCGCATTCAGCCGGCACGCTGTTCAAAGGCATGCTCGATGGGGATCGCACGTCGGCTTATGCCACCTGGCCGCAGGCGCTGGTGCCCCAGGGGGCATCTCAGGAGACGGTTGAAGGGCGGCAGGTATGGAAGTCTTGGGCCTAGTCGTCTGTTTTGCCAAGTGAGCGCAGTGCCTTTCGGTGCTCCAAGGGCTCCTCGGCGCCTCCCCTGCCCGCCGTGTCTGGGTCGGCGATTCAATGTCTATCAGAGGCGATGCAGCAATTCGGCAGACCTTGCAATAGCGGTTGCCGATTCGGTGCAAAGACTGTCATGCTTCCGCGGCGGCCCCGAGCGCTTGGGGGCGCGGGGATATTTTGCTTCCTGCACTCTGGAACATGTCAGCTGCCATGTTTTTCCCCCTGGGCACGGGGCTGGGGCGGTGCTCCTTCCGCCCCCAGCTTCTGCGGCAGGGATCCCTTCCCCTGGACCTGGCTTTTCTCGCGGCTTAGGAACGGGGCCCGACCGCTGGTTCCCTTTGGCTGGTCCTGGCGGCGTTGCTCACGAAACCGATTGGGAGGGCGAGGTCAGTGGGGTTGCTGTATTTGTGGGGCCGAGTGCGGACTCGCATCGGACATGCCCATTGTGCCAAGCGGGGGACAAGTGTTGGTGCCTTTTTTACCCTGGGCGAGGAGCTCCTCCGCGCTCCGCGACAAGAGCGCTTGGTTTCATAATGCGTGGGCTTCGTTTGCTCGGAAAACGCCAGGATTTGGTTTGGGGGTCATTTGTCTTTCTCTGAGACCGCAACGAGACCCCATGGCACCATTGCTAGATCGCATCGCAGAGTGTCCTCGCAGCTGCTCTGGGGCCACGTCGCTTGCTCGGCTGCTGTTCGCCTCGGTTAAACGCAAGGCGTTCTCGACCTGCGGCGCGGCGGCGCTTACGAGCGGCACGGGCGCCATTTCTCCTTAGTTGGTTGGTGGACAGGCCGCCGCGCGCAAGGATATGCAGTCCGCTTTTCATCGGGCGCCCCAGGGCCTCCAGGATACGGGGCCACCATGGCGCCCAATAGATGGGCATGCTTTCGCCCGCCCCCATCCTTGGCCAAGGCGCTCGCTGACGGCTGCAATCTCGCGCTGGCCGCCAGGGCGGCGGCCCGCCGCGACTGGGGAGGCGGTGCGACCGATGGATCCAGCAGGGCGGTGCTAATCAATCACAGCATTTCTTTGGGGGGCCCAAGCCAAGGTGGCCGAGGTGCTTAGCCTCGGCGAGGCTGAGGTCCCCGCGGGGGGCGTTCCTGGCGCGGGAGTCGCGGCGGGGGCCCTGCGCGGGGCCAGCGCCCAGGGCCTCCCGGACGAGAAGCTCGAGAGGCTTGGGGCGGTGGCCGTCCGAACCGGTGGCAGAGTGCCCAGGGGGTGCTCGCTCGGATTGGCGCCCGCGTGCTGTCGCAAGGGTTTCGCCGCGAGACCTCACTGGTGCAGGTGTCAGCTGACGCGATCAAGGCCGACGTGCAGATTTGTCAGGATGGCAGGGCATCATATCGCATTTGGGCTGTTTTGTCTTCCTGGGCCCATGTCGTGGCCCAGTGGCTGGAAACGAGCCAGGAACCCGACGCAGCGGCTGACGCCTCGAGAGAGAGAGAGAGAGAAACAACAAAAAACAAAAACAAAAAAAATCAAGGGCGCCGAGGAAGGGGCCAGGCCGTGGAAGGCGGGGGGCGGTGTGTTTTCGAGTCTCCCGCGGTGGAGGACGAATCTCCTCCGCCCTCAGCTGTTCGACCTGTGAAGGGGGCTACGCGACGGTTTCCGCCGTTGCGCTAGGAGGTCTCCATGAGTTGTGTGGGCACGCTCGGCCCACTCCAGCGCAAGATGGCAAACACCATCGTCTTCCTCGCCGAAATTAAACCGCCCGGCTCCGGCGCGCGAGCCGGGGCTTGCGAGATCCCCAGGGGCCCCGGCGATTGGCCTCTTCGGCGCTCGGTTCTCGGATGTCGGACTGGGGCCTCGGCCGAGGGCGGGCGCCCCAGCTTCCGAGGGCCCCACCCCGCGTTTCCAGTTTCCGCCCATCGCTGTCTCTCGGACTGCTTTGAGGCCTTTGGGATCCACGAGGGTGAAGCTCGAGAGTCGGGCCGGTGTTGCAGAGCTCGGCAATTCGAAGACCAGGTGGACGGTTGACGAGCTGTTTTCGGAAAGAGGGGGGGGCTGTCGTTGGCCCGCGGTGCGCAGCCAATGCACACCCGCACCGCGGTGCCAAAAAAGGTCCTCTCTGCTGGGCCCCTGGGGTTTGTGTGGACTTTCTCTTTCTCTTTCTATTCCCTTCAGTGGCGTGCAATCGTCCTCCTCCTGCTGCTGCTGCTCCTCCTCCCCCTCCTGATCCTGATCCTCCTCCTCCTCCTCCTCCTCCTCCTCCTCCTCCTCCTCCTCCTCCTCCCCTCCTCCTATCCTCCCTCCTCCTCCCCTCTCCTCCTCCTCCTCCTCCTCCTCCTCCTCCTCCTCCTCCTCCTCCTCCTGCTCCTCCTCCTCCTCCGCCTCCTCCTCCTCCTCCTCCTCCTCCTCCTCCTTCTCCTCCTCCTCCTCCTTCTCCTCGTTCTCCTCCTCCTCCTCCTCCTTCTCCTCCTCCTCCTCCTCCTTCTCCTCGTTCTCCTCCTCCTCCTCCTCCTCCCATTCCTCCTCCTCCCTCACTCGGTCCGCTCTGCCACCCCAGGAGGCCGCAGGGCAGTCGGCCGCGCCGGCGACGGGGGACGAGGAGGCGAGCCTTGCGGAGGCGGCGATGCAGGCCATGCTGGCGGGCGACATGGACAGGCGGCCACCGCCTCCATTTCCAGATGTGCTCGCGTCGTGGACCAAGGGGGCGGATGTTTGTTTTGTCGTTTTCAGCCTCCAGGGGCCCTCGGCGGGGTCCAGGACCGTCAAAAAACGATTCGGGATGAGAAGCCGGTCCCGGGGAAAAGGGTCGGGACTTCTGGGGACCCTGCGCGTCAGTACGCTTGGACTGCCGCGCGTGGCTCCGTGCTCCCTCGGAGGGCGGAGTGCACGGCGCCTGGAGCCATTGGGATGGCCGTCCGTCTGTTCGTAGGTCAGGGTCGTCTGGCATGGCGAGCGGCGTGGGCGGGCCTCTGCAGCTCTGTCGTCGTTGCAGGGCCTCCACCGCCCCCACTTCCCGCGGCTGGACAGCCTTCGCCTTGTCACTCCACGTGTTCCATCCTCCCCCGGCCTCCCCTCCTCCTTCCTCCGCCCCCCTCCACTTGGCAGGAGGCTAAGGTCTTCGTGCTTCGAGCAGTGGGCGCCTCCACTGCGGTCGGGGGCGGCGTTCGGGGGGGACAGGCTCACGAGGTCGCGCATCGGCCCCCAATCGCCCATTCTTCGCCGATTGGGGCCCGATGCCCCACCCCGACCGGGAACGTGCGGTTTCGCTTTGGGGGGCTTCTCGCCGATCCATCGCAGATGTATCGCCGATTCATGGGCGACGCTCCACTCCCCACCCCACCCCTGAGCCAGCCCCTTCCTACTGTTGCCCCTCGTAGGGGGCGCAGCAAGGCTCGCAAGAAATCTAGACGGCACGCGGCTCGGGACTTACTTGCACGCTTTTGCGGCCCTGCGCTGTTTGCAATGGTGGCGGAGGGTGGGGGGATTGTGGGAATCTCAATGTTAGCCAGCGTGGGCGCCACACAGCGCGGTGCTTGCAATTCATGTCGTGCAATCGACGTGGGCCAACACATGTGGTGCAATGAGCTGTTTGTTTGCAGTGGGTTGTCGACCCCATGGCTCGCGCGACCATCCCACCCACCCACGCGCAACGTGGTTTGCAAAGCCATGCGGCGGCGATTGCGATGACTGCTTGGCCCTCGGTGGCGCACCGCTGCAGCCACGACAGCGCGCGCAGGCTCGCGCGCAGAGCGGCCAGCCAGTCAGGCGCGACCGTCGCGGCCACCCTGGCGCTGGCCGCTGGGGACTTCCCAGCGCGCTTCGCAGGCCGAGCTGGCGCACGGGCGTTTCGGTGCCAGTCGGTGATGCGGGCGGGCGCGGTATCAGGGCGACGCCGACAACAGTTGACACGATGTTGATAAGAACGATGGAGGAAAAGACGGCGACCGTGACAACGGCAAGGCCACTGACACCGCCGATGGAAACCACTCCGATTACGATGATAGTGTCCCCGCGTCGGTGGCGCAAGTTTTTGGAGGATTCCGACATGCCTCGCGCGCTCGACAGACGTGGCCCGCATAGTAGCATTTGACAGGGATCCACGCGCAGACCTTATCTGGGAAGCAATGTTGCGTAACCATTCGTTCTTTATACACATCTACATATAAATATGTTTGGATTCGAGGCAGTCGGTTTTGAAATCCGATCGAAGTTCTTCGTTGCTGGAGGATTTGTGCATGCGCGCGCGACGACGCGCACGCATGCAGACCTGAGGCCCATTGTCGACAGGGAGACCCCCCCACGATCTCTGTTCTCCACACGGCGGAACCCCCGAGGTGGGGGTCACGCCCCCCCGGGCCCCCACAGGGACCCCCCCGCGGACCCCCACAGGGACCCCTCCGGGCAACCCCACAGGAACCCTCCTCTCTGCTCCCCCCCTTTCGAACCCCCCCCCTTCCACGGCGGGAAAGGGGCAAAGCGAAGGCGTTCCCTTGCCGATTCAAGTGCGGCATGGATGGGCCCCCTTATTTCTTCGACCTTCCTTTGCGACGGCGACGATTCGAAGGAGGCTTGCGTACGTCAATTCGGGTTGGGCTGGCCTCGCGCCGAAGAACCTCATACAAACGCCAACTGGGTCGGATGATTGCTTCCGCCGTCTGCGGTGCCAGGCGACGAGTACAGAGGTCCATCGATGGCGTCCGACGGATTTCATTAATATCACGATGTGTCCTTGAGAGCACCGTTGAGTTTGGGCGAATTCTGATTACCATCAAACCCAGCAATGGCTGGGCGGAGTGGACGGCAGAGGGGGTGGGCTTCGGGCGGGGTGATCCAAAGGGAGGGTGTGTAGCTTGTCGCCGTCGTCGTCGCGTCGCCGTCGTCGTCGACGAGCGGAAAGAGGATGACGTCTTCATTTTTCATCCGTTTTCCCTCTGTATTGTCATGTGACGGGTGGACATGTGTGTTCGTTGATGTGTCCCCCATGGCGTTTTCACGTCGCCAGAACAGTTGAGTAGTGTTGTTGTTCGCACCAGTGCGTTGCCATGTGGCGAATATTATAGAACATAAGTTCTTATCCCAGGCGATGCCGCGTGACGAGTACGGTCGGATGGCTTGACGAGTACGTTCGGATGGTATTTGCGATGCTTTCGGTGGCTACGCGACGAATCTGGTCCAAGATCGAGGGTTTTCGACAGATTTCGTATATTTGCCCGTCGGATCCTTGAGGGCTCATTGTGGGCCTCGGGCTCACGAGCGGGTGGTCCCGCAGGCGGGCGGGCGGGCGGTCGCGAGGGCAGGCGTGCGGGCGCGCTTTCGGGTTGGCGGGCGGGCGGGCAAAGGGACTGGCGAGCGGGCAGGTGGGCGTGCGGGGGCGGGCGGGCGCGCGGGCGGGAAAGCGGGCGGGCGGGCGGTCGGGTGGGCGGGCGTGCAGGTGGGCGGGCGGACGGGTGGGCGGGCACCCGGACGTGGTGAGCAGGCGGGCGGGCGGTCGAGGGCGGGCGCGCGGGCGACCGGGCGGCTGGGCGGCCGGGCGGTCACGTGGGCTAACGGCCGCGCAGTCGCGCGGGCGCGGGAGGGCGCTCAAGCGGGCGGTGGGTGGGCGGATTGGCGAGCCGACTGCGGGCGGGCGAGACTGGACGGGCGAGCTGACGGGCGCGTGGGCGGGCGAGCGATCGAGCGGGCGATGGCGCGGGTGGGCGGGCGCGCGACGATGCGCGTGTGGTCGACGTCGCCGTTGTTTTGCCGTCGTCGCCGCACCATTTTTTGTTGTTGTCCCCCTTGCGGGGCACACACTAGTCTGATTGTTTTCGCCCCGTCGAGCATTGCCACGCGACGAGTAGAATATTGTGCTTCCGCTCCTTGCGTTGCCATGTGGCGAGGAAAGTAGATTGGCACTCGTTGCTCGCAGCCTTGGCGGGAGCATATAGCAGAACACATGTTGATTCGCCCCCCTGCGTTGCCACCTGGCGAAAGTATGCGGGAAGGCGGGCAGGTGGGTGGGTGGTCGGGCGAGTGTGCGAGCTGGCGTGCTTGCGTTTGGTGTGCGCAAGCGGGTTTGTAGATGCCGTTGTTGTCATGGTATAGCCTCGCTGGGTATTTGTGTCATTTGTTATCGTTTGGCGTCGCCACTGTCGTTATCAGCGCGTTGCTGATTTCATGCTTCATGATCGTGTTCGCGCGCCTTTCTCGAAATACACGCACACGAGCAAATCCCGGTGCCTATATCACTCCCTGTTCTAAAACTGAAGACTCGGGATGACTGAGACTCGTTTCGCCAAGGTTCGAGCTTCCAAACCTGAGGTCGGCGTTGTGGATTGAGGTGTCTCATTGGGACTCATGGTGCAAACTCGAGGTGAACCATTTCGTCGACTTATCCATGATTCCGTCGTATGTCGAGACAGGGGGCTTTCAATGGGGAGGGGGGTCGGGAAAACGAGGTTGTTCGCAGGGCCGGTTATCCCTCATGGGTCGGGTTTTCGACGCGGAGATGGGATCAGGCCTTCACCCAGATGGTATAGCCTCTTGAGGCGTTTCGAGGTTTCCCCAAGAGAATATCCTCGGTCGCCTGAGGGAGTCCGCGAGTTCCTCGTTCGACTGAAAATGTTTCCTCGTCCGCTCGACAGAATCTCCACGTTCGCCATTGAAAGAAACTCCTTGCTCGATCAAAGAAATGTTCTTCGTCCGCCCTGCCGAGTTCCCCCGTTCGGCAACATGAAATTCTTCGCTCGACCGCCACATTTCTTGTGTTCGCCTGGATGAATATCCTTTCGCCTGTGGACCCTAAATCCACACGCTTCCGGTTGGTGGTTTTGGGATCGTTTCTTCTTCCGCCACCTTTCCTCGTCATCGTCGCCCTCCTCTTTTCCTCTTTGCGTTCGTCTTGACGCAGGGCGAAGGATTTGTGTTTCGAGTAGTGTGCACCTGCCGCTGCTGACTCGCTTCTTCTGCACATCCCGCATTCGTCTGTCTTTTGAGATCGATCCTTCCTCCATGTTTCTTTCCTCGCTTCTCGGTCATCCTCTTCGCTCCTCGTTCCTCTTCCTTCCTCGCTTCCTCATGCTTTCTCCTCTCCTCCTCCGTCCCTGGGGGATAGGAGGCGTCCTGAGCTCATCTTCCGAAATAGGCAGGACTCGACAATCGATCTCGAACCTCCGCCGGCAGAGCGAGTATTACGTCGCATATTCGGAGGACCGTTTCTGACCTGCACACGCTGGTCCTTCCTTGCATCCGGCATGCTACCCGATGCGGATCGGCGCAGGTTCGACGCGAATAGCGGCGCGCTCGAACATACAAGGTTTTTCGAGAATGCAACATAAAGCGCAGGTTGAGTTTCGAATCTTGATGTTCTTGCGTTGTGTCTTGCTTTTCGGGGCCACGGGGGTGCGTCTCGTCAACTCGACTTGCTGGGGTAACCAAACAATCCAGCTTTCTCGCGTCGTAACAAAGCGAACCAGCTTCCTGCTGCAAGTCCCGCCACGGTGTCAGACCAGCATTCTGGTGGGCGACGGTTCGACAGCACGGCAGGCCGTGAGGACGATGGTGGTGATGTGGATGAAGATGTTGATGATGATGATGATGATGATGATGATGATGATGATGATGATGATGATGATGGTGATGATGGTGATGACGATGCTGAGCATGCTGATGATGATGATGATGATGATGATACTGATGATGATGATGCTTGTGAGGATGATGGTGCTGATGATGGTGGTGATGATGGTGATACGACGGTGATGATGATGCTGACGATGATTGTGTTGAAGATGATGATGATGATGGCTTTGTTGATAAAATTGGTGATGATGGTGATGATGATGGGGTTGGTTGGTGATTGCCATTATGATGAGTATGGTTGACGATGGTCATTGTGGTGCTGATGATGATGGTGATCATGATGATCATGTTGATGATGATGATGATGATGAGGATGATGATGATGATGATTATTATGATGGTGATGGTATTGATGATTAAGATGATGCTGATGTTGATGATGGTGATGGTGATGACGGTGATGATGATGATGATGTTGATGATGATGATGCTGATGATGATGATGTTGATGATGATGATGATGATGATGATGATGATGATGCTGATGCTGACGATGATGCTGCGGTTGATGATGATCATCGGTTCTGACTCCAAGAGCCAGACCCCCTTGCGGCGTGAACGGGTATTTTCGCTTTGGTTGCTCCCGCCGCGACTGCCCAGACGGACGACGTCTGGCCTCTTGCAGCCTCGGGGCCCCAGGAGCCCCGACTCCTTCCCCAGGGCTGGGCTTCCATCCTGGCCCGTCCTCTGGCAGTCGCTGGGCCAGGAAGCCGCCCCCCAGAAGCCCCAAGGGGAGGAGGAGGAGGAGGAGGAGGAGGAGGAGGAGGAGGAGGAGGAGGAGGAGGAGGACGCCTGAGGTCTGGAAAGCTCGCGCCGGGCGGCGCCGGCGCGGACCAGGTACGCCGCCCTGAACGTCCAGCTGGAGGCGAGGCAGAAGGAGAAGGCGGCCGCGCCGCCGCGCGTGGGCCGCGCCTTGCTAAGCTCGTGGCGGGGTCTCTGGTCTCAGCGTGTCCTCCTTGTCCTCCTGCCTCCCTCCGTCCGTGCTCTGGATCGGCGCAGGAGGGCCGCTCTGGGGGTGGGGGGGGATGGAAGTGGGTGCGCAGGTGGGTTTTTGTCTGGCCCAGCCTGGCCCAGAAGTGGGCCGCAAGTGCCCTCGGTGGCTGCAAGGGGTCAGGCAACTCTGCCGAGTTGGCTCCGCCCACGCAGCCCACGAGCCGCCGATGGCATGTGTACTCCAAGGGCAAGCTAGGCCAAGCCAGACACAACCCACCTTAGCACCCACGGATGGCCCCCCTATGCCCTTCGCGCGCCCCGTGCAGATCCCAGCAGATGCGATCATCATTCGATGTTTTCGCCGCGCCGTCCTCTCTGCGAGCGCTGTGATTTTCGAGCTTCCGCCGCACCGCCGACCCCTTGAGGAGAGCCGATGGGTCCGTTCCGCGGAGGCTACGTGCCTCGTCTGGGGGCTCGGGGGGCAATGGCAGCTGTCCTGGGGCCGACGTGAGGATCGGTTAGGCCTTTTTGGGCCGTCTGGGGCTCTCCCAGGACCGACTTGGGGCCGCGTTGGGACGATCTGGGGCCGTCTTCGGACGTCTTTAGGCCCTCTTAGGGCCCTCCTTGAACCGTCTTGCACTCTGATCGTGGAGCCCCAGCGACCCCGCGCCGCTGGCGGGCGCAGCGCGGCTCCAGCGCCCGTGCGCGGCGAATGCGCCGTAGATGCTGGCGGTGCAGCTGCGCGTCCTCGCCCTCTCCTCCTCCTCCTCCTCCTCCTCCTCCTCCTCCCTCCTCCCTCCCTCCCTCCTCTTCCTCCTGCTCCTCCTCCTCTTCCTCCTCCTCCTCCTCTTCCTCCTCCTCCTCCTCTCCTCCTCCTCCTCCTCCTCCTCCTCCTCCTCCGCCTCCTCCTCTTCCCCCTCCTTCTTTTCCCCTTCCTCCTCCTCCTCCTCCTCCTCCTCCTCCTCCTCGTCCTCCTCCTCCTGCTGGCTTTTCCTGCCGGGCCCGTGGGGGCTCCGTGTGTGCCTCTGGGCCCCGCGTCGTGGGCGCGTCGCCTTGCGCGTGGACGGCGCTCTCTCCCCTGCTCCGCGGCGGGGGGCCGCGCGGCGAGGGGCCGCTGGAACCCTCGCAGCCGTCCCCTTCCCGTCGCGCCTCACGGGCTCCACGACGAGGCTACTGACAGTACGGCGGCGACCCCGACACGGCGGCGCAGGCGGAGGGTTTGCCATGCTTGAAAAATGCTTGAGGGGTGCGGCCAGGCTCTTCTACGAACATATATGAAGAAACAAAACCTTTCGACTCCGCGCTAATTGCTTGGATCTGCGCTGGGCCCCCCTGGCGGTGTCTCCGGAGCCATCCTTGCCGCGCTCCGCGCGCCGGGGAAAGGGGTCTGGCGCAGATCCAAGAGTTGCAGCGCGGACTATTTTTGTTCATCTACAGGCGTCTCTCTCCGCGCGTTGGCTTCACAGCCCAGCCCATCTGCTTCCCTGGCTGCGACGGCTCCCAGAGCCTACAGTTCGGAGGAGCTCGCAGAAGAGAGGAGCGCCGCGTATAACCCCAGAAGGTCTTTCATGCCACTGCGACCCTCCCAAATGCTCTCGGCTGGCAAATCATCCCGTCCTTCGCCTCCACGTCGTTCCCCTCCTCCGTTGTCTCCTCCTCCTCCTCCTCCTCCTCCTCCTCATCATCATCATCATCATCATCATCATCATCATCATCATCATCATCATCATCATCATCATCATCATCATTTTCCTCGCCATCATCAACAGCATCATGAGTCCTCACTCCAATGGGTCACGGTCCAATGGGTCTGAGCCATCTTTTCTCTCGCGTTCCCCAAGCGTCTCCCGCCGCACGTTTACCTTGCACTCATGCCCATCTGCTTCTTCCGCGCGGGCGTAAGAGAGCCTTGTATTAGTTCGTACTTCGCACTCTCGTTTGCACCAGCCTCCGTTAGCGTATGATGGTCGATGAGATAGCGCCGACACATCGTTGATTGACGTCGGCTTAGTGTCGATGTAGTGTCGACGGGCGTCGCTGCGGAAGAGCAAGCAAGGTGGTATGGTAGGTTCCCACGAATTGCTACAGAGCCTCCCATCGACCCTCCCAGGCGTCTATTGCTGCGAGTTGGCGTCGCAGTCGGGCCCTTTTACTTCCCCTGCACGGGTGCACGATTTGGGAGGCCTTGCTGGCGCGAAGCGGGGCCTGGCTTCCTCTGTTGCGTAGTGTTCTCTTCTCTCTTGGGTCTGCCTTTTTGGAGACAGGCCGCCATCCGAGCTTTCAACACACAAAAAAACAAGCATGCACTTCCGACGGAGTTCCGCTCTGGGCCCCCTTGGCGGCGGTTCCGGCGCCGCCCCTGGCGCGTTCCACGCGCGCAAAAACAAGCGTTTTAGCGCGGGTCCATGGAATTCGAGTGTACTGTGGTTGTCTTTTAGTTCTTCTCTATTCTCGATGACCGACTCTCGATCCTTTTTTCTTTCGTCGTTGATTCCCCTTTTGCCCTCCCTTGTCTACTCCTCTCCGACTCCTCTCCCTCATCCGTGGTCCGTACCCAGGGTCTCTCATGCTCGTCGTTTTGTTTTTGTTGCCTGCCTCCTTGGTAGCCCTTTGGGCTAGGACCATTTTTTGGTTTTCGCGCGGCCCGTTCCCCTGCACGCTGGCAGAGATGGGTTGCGCAACCTCCCTCGCCGTGGGCGAAGACGTCGAGCACACCAGGGCGCGCAACCTCCTCCAGGACGGGAAGAAAGACAGTTTCGCCGATCACGAGGGGTTGGGAATAGAACTAGAGAGGGGGATACACACATGCACGCATTATTGATCGATCTAGGTACGGATACACACCTATATATACACTTATATATACATACATATATATATATACAGTTGCGTATATACATAAATACATACGTACATGTAGACATGCATACATACACGTACACACATACGTACACGTGTGTATAGGGAGGGAGGGGTGGGGGAGAGAGAGAGGGAGAGAGAGAGAGAGAGAGAAAAAGAGCGAGAGACGGAGGCAGAGGATGAGGAGGATGAGGAGGAGGATCGTTGCAGACCAAATACCCATCAATAATGTTGGAATACACCATCTTTCCAAGCTCCCTCTTCAGAGGCCCTTACAAAGAGACATTTCCACTGAGCTGGGTGCCCCGTCGGGAGACAATCGCGTGAACATGTCGAAGCGTGGCAAAACACCATTGACAAAGTTTCGACGCCACGAGTTAAACTGATTGATGCGTCGTGGCTAGTCTGCGTCGTGCCAGAACGCCTTTCGTGGGACTCCAACACAGCGAATCAACGTAACTGCTGCGCCCTCGCAGTCCTGAATCGCTGCAAAACGCCATGTCTGGTACGATGACCAAGGGAATCTGTGAAACTCTGGTAACCTGTTGACACGAATTTGCGTGGCGCCCAGGCGAGAGCCACATTTTGAAAAGGAGAAGCCCTCAACCCGTGAAATCTTTAATTGTTAAGATGCGTGAACGAATGCGCACGGCATTTAGGCGAGAGCCACATTTTGAAAACGAACCGCCGTCATTCATTGAAACCGCCTCAGTTTAAATGCGAGTGTGCGCGGCGCGGAGGCCAGAGCCACATGTTGGACACCACCTGTCTTCAACCCATGAAGCTCTCATATGTTTTTACGAATGTGTGCGGCGCTAGAGCGGGAGCCACATGTTGAAAGCCACTTGTCCTCAATCTGCGAAGTGTTTGCAACTGTTTCAACCGATCCTGCGCGATGTTAAGGCGAGAGCCACGTTCTCAAAACGACCCGCCCTCCATGTGTGAAGCGGCTGCCAGTTTCTACGCTTCCTGTTCGTGAATGGACAGGAAGTCCAGTCCGCCCTTCCGACTGGCCTCGGGGTGCGACAGGAAGGTGTTAGTCATAAGGAGAAGGAGTGTAGGATGAGGAGGGCTCGGGACAGTCTGGGCGAGCTGCGGCCGTTGCTCAATGACGGATGCATCGATCGCGGTCGGTGGGAGGGGAGCCGCGCGTGAGATTTCGAACCATTCCCTTGGCCACGCTCGCGGAGGACGCGGTGGCCCCGCGCAGTGAGCCCGGGAGGGCTGCCCCCCCCCTCCCCCGCAGAGAGAGCGAGCCGCCGCCCCCCCCCCCCCCCAGCCCGCGGCCGCCACCCCGCTGGCCATTTAAGGCTCCATTGAGTGCACAGAACCTTGGACGTCCTATGCTGCTCATCCTGCGGTTGGTGGCTCTGGCGCCTGGCCTGGGGGAAGCAGCCCTGGCTGGGAGTGCCCGGCAGGAGAGGCGGACCGGAAGTGAGGATCGAAGGAAGGAAAACGCCATAAGCTGAAAGTTTTGGAGCTCCGCTCTGCGCTGGGCCCCCCCGGCGCCGGAGGCGCCAGGGAGGGGAGTCCAGCGCAGATCCAAGAAATTCGCGCGGAGCGCCAAAAGGTTATATCGATGTAGAGGTTTTTCGTCTAAAGGAGGGGGGGAGGAGGAGGAGGAGGAGGAGGAGGAGGAGGAGGAGGAGGAAAGAGGAGGAGAGAGAAAGAGGAGGGATCGGAACTCGAAGGTCAAGGGTCTCACGGGCCCGCGCAGTGCGGCTGGCCGGTGAGCCGTTTCGCGATTGGTTGGCGCGTAATTTTTAGTTTTCGTTTCTCCCTTAGCGTAATTCGTGTTGCCCCCCACCCCCCCCACACACCCTGGCGCTCTCTTGTACCCCCCTCCAGTCGCTTCTCCCTGAAGCCGCTCAGACGGCATGCAGCAGTGGTGCCCGCAGGCTCCCGCGGTGTTCACGGGCGTGTCTTGGTGCCCGCAGGCACACGGTGCTGCTCACCAGGCATGCTCGCGAGGGCGACGACGACGAGAACGACGACGCTACCTCCTACAGCTGGGCCAGGGGCGCCTGGACCCTACCCAGAGCCCAGCTCAACAAGTTCAGTGTAACCATACAAGT